GCCCTAGGGTGTCGCCGCCCCAGGGTCAGAGGAGGAAGGGTACTCCAGAGTTCGTAATAAAAGAGAGGGGGTCTGGACCCTCCAAGACCCAGGGTGAGCAGCAAACATGCCAGCGAGTCGACAAGTCCGGAGGCAAGGCATCTTCTACTTCGTGCTTACTCCAGTTTTCGTAATAAAAGGGAGGGGGTCTCAACCCTCCAAGACAAGCCATTTCAGACCCCCCCCCGTGGGAGAACCCTCCAGAACGTCGTCCCCAGATCCCCCCAGGCCCTCCAAGATAGCCTGGAAGAGACCCCCCCCGAAATGAGACCCCCTCCCTTTTATTACGAAATCTGGAGTACCCACACATCTACCCTTTCTGGATCCTCTCCTCTTTTGGGCCTCCCGAGGGCCCCCCGTCGCCACCGCTGGACTCACCTCGAAATTCTGGCCAGAACGCACCCCGGGAGAGGTCCGGGGAGTAGCGGTATCGGTATTTTTGATTTCCCCAGAGTGGGTCGTCGACGTCGTCGTCGTCGTCGTCGCGTCGGCCTCGCTGTCGTCGTCGGAGGTCGTTGTCGTCGGAGGAGGAGGAGGTGGAGGAGGAGGTGGAGGAGGAGGTGGAGGAGGAGGAGGGATGACCGGTGCTTTCTGGGAAGTTTAGGCTCTCTGAGAACCTCCAGAGACCTCTGGGGACCTCTTGAGACCGGAGGGTTGCGGAGCTCGTCGTCGCCGTCCTCCCACGACGAGGCGAGAGTAAGCACGAGGTAGAAGATGCCTTGCCTCCGGAGTTGTCGACTCGCTGGCATGTTCGCTCGTCACCCTGGGCTGATTATCCAGGCGGCCCTGAACTGGTGCGGGAGGAGAAAACGACAGGCGCGACGACGATCCACAGCAACGGCGGCTGACTACGGCTAGAGACGATCCATGAGAGAGTATAGATTCTCCTCCACGGAGTCTCTTCACTTCAGCGTCCAGGCCAGCAGTCACGCGAGGGGTTGGTGCAATCTGGGATCGCTCTCCTCCTCCTCCTCCTCCTCCTCCTCCTCCTCCTCCTCCTCCTCCCCCTCCTCGTCCTCCTCCTCCTCGTCCTCCTCCTCCTCCTCCTCCTCCTCCTCTTCCTCCTCCTCCTCCTCCTCCTCCTCCTCCTCCCCTCGTCCTCCTCCTCCTCTTCCTCCTCCTCCGCCCCCTCCTCCTCCTCCTCCTCCTCCTCCTCCTCCTCCTCCTCCTCCTCGCTAGTACGGTAGCGGAGACCAGGAGGAGGAGGAGGAGGAGGAGGAGGAGGAGGAGGGGAGGCGGAGGCCTGCGCGGGGTGGTGCCGAGCCGCGGTGCGCTCGGCAGAGGGCTCCCTGGTCCATTCGCGCGACCACAGTCGTCAGGGTCAGGTCGTTCCTGCATGCTTTGAGTAGGCCATAGAAAACATACGTAATTGCTGTATTCCAGGTTTGCTGTATGAGTCTAGAGATAAAGTTGTCCTGTTCCGTAGATCGTCGAAACCTCTTCAAATCTGTTGATTGTAGAGGCCTCCGGCTGGTGCCGCCGATCCGGGACGATCCCGCTGTCAGAAGGACGCTTTCGCACCAGCGCGGGGTGATCTATTCCCTTCTCCGCGCTGCGCTTTAGTTTTGTAGGCAGTAAAAACATCTGGGTCCGAGTCTTTCCGCATCCTTATCGAGGCCTCCTGGGGGGCGTCTTGGAGGTGATTGTTGAACCTCTTGGGAGACTTTTGAGCTTCTTGGGGGGCATGCAGGAGGCATCCTGGAGGCCTCCTGGGGGTGTGTAGAAGGTATTTTTTCAGCCTTCGGGGGCGCTTTTGGGCCGTCCTGGGGCCCGCTTGGGCTGTCTTGGGGGCCTCCCGGGCCGTCTTGGGCCCTTCTTGGGCGGACTTGGGGCCCTCTTGAGAGCCTCTGGGCCTGTTTTGGGGGTTTCTTGGGCCGTGCTGGACACTGCGAAGGCCGAAGAAGCGAAAATGGAAAACATGTACGTTTTCCTAAGGGAGTGGGACAGATGTTCCGTCTTTGGGCACTCTTAGGAGGTGTCGGGAGGGCACGTTGGAGGCTTCTGGAGCCGTCTGAGGAACATATTGGGCGTCTTGGAGCGATGTTTCGGCCACTCAGGGCCCTCTTGGGCCGTCTGGGCGGCCGCTGGTTTTTTATGAGCCCGCGTTCCAGCTCTCCGGGGCGAGGGGCCGACCCGGAGTGAGCTGGAGCTCCGATTTTGCCATCAAAATTGACTCGGACCCCTCCCCCGCCCTACCCCGGCAGAGCCACCCCGGCACCCACCCCCCCAGCAGAGCTGAAGCTCAAGAACTGAAGCTCAGGCTATATCTGAGGGTCTTTGAAACTCACACGCCAGATCGGCGGATTTACATGTATATTGGGGTAACGCAACACAAGCACTCGATCTCCCATTCGAATGCTTGGATCCTGGAGCATGGTGTTGCAGTCGGCCGCGCCGCTGACGAAGACGTGGGCGTCCCCTTAGCGCTGTAATATGTCCCGTGCTTCTAGCAAGTCCAGGAAGAGGGGAGCGGGGAAAGGGAGGAGGGTGAGGAGGCTGGAGTTCGACGAGGAGCACTATGCGAGGGAAGCAGGGAGACGGGCGTTGAGGGTGTGAGAGAGGGGAGGAGGAATGGAGATGGTCGGCATCGGGCCTCCCTACTCTTGCCTTCTCCTCGCCCTCGTTGTCCTTCACGTCCTCTGATCCCCCCCTTGTCCCTAATATCCCTCGTGTTTCTCCGTGTCTTGTTCCTTCTCCGATTATCTTTCTCTTCCCCTCATAGTCCCGAGCCTGCTCTCCCACTCATCTTTGCTTGCCAAGCGACCGTCTTCAGATCCTTCCCCATGTCGCCCCAACTCCCTCCTCCACTGTTTTTGTTAGTATGCTCACGATCCTTCACTTCAGTCGCAGCGTTTCTCTCACCACCGCCATCATCATCATCATCATCATCATCATCATCATCATCATCATCATCATCATCATCATCAGCATCATCATCATCATCATCATCATCATAATCAGCATCAGCATCAGCATCAGCATCATCATCATCATCATCGTCATCAACATCAACATCAACATCAACATCAACATCAACAGCATCATCCGCAGCAGCATCATCATCGGCATCAGCATCATCATCATCATCGGCATCAGCATCATCATCATCGCCATCATCACCATCACCATCAACACCATCATCATCATCACCATCATCATCAACATCATCATCAGTATCAGCATCACCATGACCATCATCATCATCATCAGCATCACCATCACCACCGTCATCACCATCATAATCACCATTCCATCGTCATCATCATCATCAGCATCATCATCACCATTGTCGTCATCAGTATCACCATCATCAGCATCATCATGTCCAGCATTAGCATCATCATCATCATCATCATCATCATCATCATCATCATCAGCATCAGCATCAGCATCAGCATCACCATCACCATCATCATCCACAGCAGCATCATCATCATCATCCCTATCGCCCCTCCGTGTCAGGACAGCCTCTTTACATCTCTATTCCCGTCATCCCCCGCCTCCTCTTCCCCGCCCCCTCTCTGCCGACGCGTTTCGGCAATCATTGAGAGAGCACAGTGTTCTTCACCACCCCCCTCCTCATCTTACCTTCCCCTCGTCGTCGCTGTTCTCCTCCCTCACATTCCCTCTCCTCGTCCTCCCCCTCTCCGCCTAGTCCTTGTCTCTTCTTGGTCTCCTCATCTCCTCATCATCCGCTGCATCTTAGAATTGCATGGTGCCGCGTCAAGGCCTAGTCAGAGACGTGCCACGTGCGTTGCTGCCATGCCCCCCCCCTCCGACGCGGACCGGGCGCCTTTTATCTCCAGATGCGTACGCTGTCCCTCCACTTCCCCGATTCTTGATGCTACAGTGGGGGGCCATGACAAGAAACACCCTGCGTTTCGTCAGGGTTCCCTGTGTTTCTTTGGCTGGCGTTCGGCGCGTAAGGTCGACGCAATCTCGATGAAATTTGAAATGCCAGGGCACCCTGGGTTTCTTCGCCTCCCTGACCTGAGTCAAATGGGCACGAACTCTTTTCTCCCGGAAGAGAAGTCGTCGCCTTTCTGTTTGTGCAAGGCCCGACGCTCGCGTCTTCGATCGCCTTGGGTTTCTTGCTGTCATGCTTGACGCCAACTGTCCAGAAACCGCTCGGGCCAGGGTCCCTGGGTTTCGTTATTTGCAGCCGAAGTGCAAGAAACCCAACCCTGGACCAAGAAACCTCGGCGGACTTCAGGATTCATTCTCTTGCGATGGACTTCTTGTGGATCGGCCCGCACTGCACGCGTATCCACAACATCCCATCCTCAAACGATGCCCAGGCGAGTTGCCTTGATCAGGGAAGCGGAGGAGCATGCAGTGGATCAAGAGCTGGGGAAGCTGTCAAGCTGAACTCTTTGATCAGCATGCGCAGACCCAGGAGCGAGCCGTATGCGCCCTCGTGGACCTACCGAATGAGGAAAGGCGGGGAAGAAGAACGATGCGGAGGAGGAGGAGGAGGAGGAGGAGGAGGAGGAGGAGGAGGAGGAGGAGGAGGAGGAGGAGGAGGAGGAGGAGGAGTAGGGAGGAGGGAGGAGGCGGAGGAGTGGGGAGGAGGAGGAGGAGGGGGGAGGGGAGGAGGGAACAGGAGGAGAGGAGGAGGAGGGAGGAGGAGGAGGAGGGAGGAGGGAGGAGGAGGGAGGAGGAGATGAAGAGGAGGAGGAAAAGGGGGAGGAGGAGGAGGAGGAGGACAATGGCGAGCTTTGGGGCTTCTTGGGGAGTCTTGGGGGCCTCTTGGCGCATACCGCGGGGAGCCTCTTGGGGGTCTTTGGGGGTCCTCTTGGAGGCCTCTTGAACGCCTCTTGGGGCCTCCTTGGCGCCTCTTCGGAGCCATCTTGGAGGACATCGATTTAAACAAGAGAGGAGCTTCAATTAGCCTTTCCCCTCTGGAGTGTCTAGAATCGTCTCTTGGACCCCTCTTGGAGCGCTCTTGGGGCGCTTTTGGT